AAAAAGGCTGTTGTTCCGAGTCCAAAGAAAATACTGGAGTTTTTATACTATTCCCATATCACGTGATATCATAAATGGAATGCAATTTTCTGTTATGGTGTCGGTACCCCTAAATGAATGAAGTAAAAGATTCACCAGCCCTCATAATCCTCCCTCCTTTTCATTCCTCTTGAGTGAAAGAAAGCAGTTAATGACCTCTCTAGCTCCTCTCCATCGCTTCCTTTACTCTGCACAAAAGGCCAGACGAGAGAAAAGAATCAGCACTCAAACACGCTTCTTCTCTCCTCTCCCCACATCGGCGCAATATGGCTGTATGAGATGAATGAAGGCCTGAATTGAGTGGAAAAGGTTGAAATGTAGAAATTCGGCAGTGAAAAAGACAGCGCTGGCTCTCAGTAGCTGGCTCGGTGCGCGTGCCAGGTGCTTTTTTTCAGGTTTTTCACATGAAAAGGCTGCAATATGTGCACCGCAACATTCTAAAACCAAAAGAGAAGACACATTGAAACGCACGTGAACTGTTGTGTGAGACGCTTTGAGATGATCCATCCATTATTTTCAAATAATGTTATCTTTATAATGATTTCATGACAAGACAATATTTTCATGTCAGTTGTAGCTTTTTAAAATCCAATACTCTGCTCAAATGCAGGTGTTTTGTATGTTTTTTTGGCTTGTTGTTGATGAGGAACATCATAAAGTTCCCCAAAACTGAAAGAAATTCTATCTTAACAAAATGTCTAATATATATACAGCTGCCTGTATTAAAGGCAGGGGTGGGGGTATTATTAATTTGGAATAATTGCATAAATTGGTATTAGATGTTAGCTACTAAACCACAGGTAGCGCTAGGATGGAGCTAGAGGAGAGAGGGGGGGGGGCACCTGTGACATGCTTCAGTAGTTCCTCCTGGCAGTGCTGATGAGATAGACCCACAGACAACCACTTTGTTTCCCTAAGGGAGGACATAGAATATTTGCAGTTAATCTGGTTGATAGTCATAAACATTTTTTGAAGCACTTGAATCCATAGACCCGTCGTTAACTAATTAAGTCCCCAACTAGCCCCACCAAGTGAACCAAGTAGTAGCTAAACTGATCAACTTGTCAAGTGAACTTAACCAGTGGCTTTTCATGGGAAAAGGTCAAGGCAGACTGTAGGAAGTCGTGTGTGTGTGTGTCTTTGTGTGTGTAGGACAGGGATGACAGGACATGCTGGCTGACCACCTGCGTAAAATCAGGGAGGGGGAAAGAGGAGGAAGGTTTGCAGGATTGACTGTAACTGGGTCATGTAAGGAGGTAGATTGACAGGCGAGAAATGAAAGAACGGAGGGGAGGTGAAGTGACAGGCAGGGGTTTCATTAGAAGAGGGGGGGAGAGGCTCATGGAGGACTTGAGGGGTGAAAGCAGCAAGGGTGGAGAGGAGACGCAAAGGTGACAGGAAAGCTTGGGGGTGACAGGAGTGGATTGAGGGTGAAGGAGGGAGGAAATGGCAGAAAGGGGCTACAGGGGGGGTGGCGACATAGGAAGAGAATATAAGGGAAGGAGACAGGGAGAGAAAGAGTGGCAGGTGGGAGGATTACAGGAGGTCAGATGAGAAGGTCATGGGGGGAGAGAGAGGAGAGAGGGGAGACTGTAAGCAATAAGACGACGAGTGATGAAGGGAACAAGAAAGATGTTTCAGCTCCAGCTGCGACTCCTCTCACCTCCTGTCATCTCTGTTTCTCCCTCAGCTACCAGGTATGTTTATGTGTGTGTGTGTGTGTGTGTTGTTGAACAGCCCTTGTTTGTTTGTGTGGTCGGGGGGGGGGAATCAGAGAGGAAGGAAGGCCTCCCAGGATGCTTGCCCTACTGCAGCGCCGGTGGTTTTCAGGCGGTACAGAGCTGGGAGGCCTCTCCCAGAGTGATGGGCCTCCAAAGCAACCTTTCCACCCGGCCGCCTGTCAGTCAGCGTTATCTCTTCCAACTGACGCCAAGAGGGAGACCCACAGAGATAGTGAGCGCCTGGCATGGTGCAAACATGACGCCTATGAAAAAAGTCTTTTTTTTTTCTTATTTCTGGAGCCCCATCAAAGCAAACCAGGATGTCTGCGGATTATTTCAACAGACAGATCCGGCGTTTGAACTATTTCAGTCAAACAACAGACTCGTCTTTGTGTTTCTGCTTTCTCACAGTGTCTCTGAGGATGTGTCTAATATGAGAACTGCCATATGTGAGCCATTGAATGTTTTGTATTATTACTTTTTCCCCCTCTTATTTTAAATTGGGAAAAAAAGTACAGTCCTGTCTGTTTCAATGGGACCATTTAAAGTGTCAGTCATTAAATAATGATTTCGTTTTCTTCTTTTAATCATGGGTGTTATGCTGCAAATTTAATTTTTGATAATTTTAATGAGATTATTATACTAGGATGTAAATGTATGTTTGAGTACTCTCTTAGTAACTTTTGGTGCTTATCAAGTGACCTTTTGTGTTCAGGGAGGAGTTCACCTTCTTTGAGACTTCTTAGTGAGATTTAAGTGTTGTCTGCTAATAAATGTTCGCTGTGCATTTATAATACCAATGCAGCGAAAAGACAATACGCGCTAAACGCATACATACATTCAGCTAGTTTGCAGTTTTTTTGCAATTTTACTACTATTAGCCTATAAAACACTGATCTGGTAAGAAAAGGGGGCACCACAGTCTCAAGAACTCTCTGCTTGTCTCTCTATGTATCTCAATCTCATTATTTCTCCTCGTTCTTCCCTGGTGACCCCGCTGCTCCTCACCTTTACTCCGCTCTCTTGCTTTGTGTTTCTGATTTCCTCTTTCTCTGTTTGTATGGAGCGTCTGGGTGTGTGGATGTTTGGATGAAGATTCATATATTTACTGCAGCGCCGGTGGTTTTCAGGCGGTACAGAGCTGGGAGGCCTCTCCCAGAGTGATGGGCCTCCAAAGCAACCTTTCCACCCGGCCGCCTGTCAGTCAGCGTTATCTCTTCCAACTGACGCCAAGAGGGAGACCCACAGAGATAGTGAGCGCCTGGCATACATGTATTATGTACATACATGTATTATATACATGTATACATGTATTTACATCCTCGATGCATGTTCTGTATTTCTTTTTTTTTCCAATTCTTTTTTTTTTGGGGGGGAAATATTGGCAGACGTAGAATACAGTAAACATGTACTGTGACTTATATTCCCATTGTTTTTCAGATGTCTTAAACATATTCAAACAAACAACAAACCTTTCCCACCCACTGGTACACCCACCTAGAAGAACAGAAAAGTAAATAAATGAAAAGATCACCTCATTTTGCCATGCCAGATATCATGACATAAACACACACATACACTGTACATCTGTATGTAGACACGCCTGCATCAACTGTTATGTCTATTGTGCGCTTCATGGTTTAGGGTCTAGAGACCAAGAAGTACTGCTAGGGGGTATCAGGCATAGTTTTGAGTTCCCCTAAGTATGTCAGAACCGAGTCCCAGGTGGAGAAGAATTTGTTCCTTGACCCCCTGAGTGAGTATTTTATTTTCTCTAACTGTATGAATTGCATCAGCTCACTAAACCACATAGACGCCTTTGGTGGATTTCTTGATTTCCAATGCAACAATATTCTTCTATGAGCAAGAAGTGTCGTAAACACCATGATGTTTTTATGTCTTTTTGTTATTGTAGAGTGTTGTCTATCTGTGACACCAAATATAGCTGATGCTATTGGTTAGAGATCAATATTAAGAGCCACAGAGAGTGTTTTAAAGATCAGAGACCAGTAAGATGCCAGAGCAGGGCGTGACCAAAACAAGTGAGTTTAGTTGGCAGGGGTATTACGACATCTGTTACAACATCTGAATTAGGGTACATTTTAGCTAATCTTGCTTTTGAGAAATGAGCTCGATGTAGAACTTTGAATTGTATTGTGCTGAGTTTTGCACAAGAGGAACTGTCTTCTTCTTCTATGTCACCCCCTAGCTCACCTTCCCAGTCCGCCCTTATCTTTGCCAGCGCTACGTTTTTAAGAGAGGCTATACAGTCATGTCTTCTTGAAATTAGCCTTTTTGAGTCGAATGGGAATTCTAGCATATCATCTAAACCTGACACTGAAGAGATGTTTGGAATGTTAGAGTACCTTCTGTATTTCTATGCACATGTGAGAGCACGTGGCCGTGCACAGGAGTGTGAAATGTGCATCATACCTGTTTCCATTTGTGATCTATGCATTTGTATATGTGCTTCAGGTGCAAACGTGTGTGTGTGAGTGTGTGTGTGTGTGTGTGTGTGTGTCTGGGGGCTTTTGGGTTGGGTTTTGTGCGTGACCTTTTATATCCCCAGCTGTCTCCGAGAGCAGAGAGCTGACTGCTGCATACAAACGATGTCAAAGTGCACACAACATGCCAAGAAGTGTTGATTTAAACTGACGGTACAAAGATATGATTGATGAATTCTGCCACTTACTACAGGTTGACAACCAAACAAATACTGCTTTTATTCTGAAACGCTGCCAAGAGAGAGAGACCTCACAGAAGAATGCATTCTTTATTTTACGCTGTGTTTCTTGCCTGTGTAGATTCCTGATAAAACATCCCGATAAAGCATCACATTCATCAACTTAAACTTTGGACTTGACCAGCCAATGAGAAATATTTCACTATGTAGTTCCTTTAAAAGGTAGAACTGAATAACTAAAAAGACATGACGTGCCGCTGGTAGCAAGGGTAAGTTGAATCTCTTATTTAATTTCATTTCTTTAAACTCACCAACAGCATGTACGTCTGGGAAAGCTGCAACACTGCTGAATAGAAATTCCTGGAGAAACAAAAGCAGTCAGATGATCGTACAAGATTTAACAAACATCAAAGTTAGCCAAGCTTATGGTGTTTGACAGGAAAATACTGTAAATTATCACTGAAGCTGTTTGACGTAAACATCCTTAAGGGGGGGGGTGTTCCCTGGCAACATTGTTTTTAGTCAACGGAGGACGTTCTTGAACCACAGCTGTAGGGATGGTCGAGGTGGAGGGTGGGCGCAACAAATGGCTGACCTTTGCTCGACACTTTGGACCCCTGGGCCTGTGCCAGGTCGGCCTGTTCAGTAATCCAGTCATGACCAAGTGCCGAGAGCAGCCGAGACATCGGGCACTACGAATTGTCACAAGCAAATATTGTAGAGAAAACAAATTAAATTGTTTTTGAAATGACTGAAAATCTGACTCAAGTTACAGCCTAATAAAGCAGACTTTTCCTTTAATAACCTGGAACAGAACTCATAAAAAGGCTTGAAGTGCCACAGGCAGCATAGGCCCTCAGGTAAACAGTTAACCTGCCGTGAGCTCCCTACCAGCATGGTGTGGGTTTTTAATAAACCGGTGTTATAGCACCATAAGATATCAGAAGCCCAGGGGCTTACACCCACTCAGAGGACTCGAACCAACAGCTCATAGTGCAACCGAACCCTCTGAAGCCCTGTGTTCATCGCCGTCGAGTCTTTGGATTATAAGTAAAGCATCGCCCTAGCGCTGCACAGGCCCAAATGTGTGCACCCACTCCGAGGACTCGAACCCGTGACCAGCTGCAAGGGGCGAACCCGCTGTGCCACTGCACTCCACAGCTGAATGTGGGCTTTTTTTCCCCTTCTTCTTCTTCTTCTTCTTCTTCTTCTTCTTCTTCTTCTTCTTCTTCTTCTAATAAAGCAGCCTTATAGCACCACAGGTAGCAGAGGCCCTCAGGTAAACAGCTAATGAAATCCCTCTCTCCCTCTCGGACTAAATCATCCAAATAGCAACCAGCACCTCCGGCACAGAGGCAGACGGACGGCCAAGAGCCAGCCAGAGCAGGAGGGAGAGATGTGGAATGAAAAGGAGAAGAGGAGTAGAGGGGTCGAGACTGGTGCGGGGGGGGGGAGAGAATTTGAGTAATTGAAAGATATGGTTGAGAAACCGTGTGTGTGTGTGTGTGTTGTATGATATTGCAGGGTATTGTAGGGCACAATGGAACAGTTACATTATATTGTATACTTTAAACATCTCAAGTGCTATAAATCACTGTCATTAGCAGACCCGGCTCTTGGGGAAGCAGCAGGCGTCTCGACCGCTGTTACCAATCGAAGGTGAAATATATTTTTCATTCCACCTGATGTTGTGACTACGACTTGAGCCACATACCGCCGCAGCTTCCACTTTGTGTTCTCACTAATAAGCAGACCTGCTTGTATAAAAATGGAAAATGTCACTTCATATCCGTCATTACTGGGGCTCTGTGGTCTTACTTTCAGGCGAGTCAACATTTATTGGAGTGTTTGCGTTCCAGTTATCCCAAATAGAATCCTAAAGCACAGAAATGGGATAATACTGTCGAGGTGAAAGAAAGAAGTGATACATGAAATTTTGGGGATATGTTTCCAGATCAAATGCTCTGGTGCGGCTGTTTTTATTATCAATTTTTTGCTATTCTGGCAGCAGGACTAGGGGTATCAATGCTGGTCCACTTGGGTCCAGACCATAGGCTGTGCATAAGAGGTGGACGTGTGACGTCACCCATTGGTTTGGCCGTTTTGAAGCCTTGTGTTCGGCGATATAGCCTTCGCCATCTCGGCTTTTTTTGCTACCAAGGAGCAAACGTGACTATATTTGGACGGCGGAGGAGTGATGTAGAGACGCTGTATACTGCTGTTGTAGAGACCTGTCAATCACAGTAAGCCCGCCCTAAATCATACCCTGCTTTATGGTCTGTTTGACTCTAAATGGACCATCATTTACTTAATGAACATCATGCTGTATTGAAGAAGACTTGAAACTAGAGACTGAGACCATAAACTCATGTTTACAATGTTTACTGAGGTAATAAATCAAGAGAGAAGTAGAGTCATTTTCTCATAGACTTCTATACAACCAGAGGAGGCACCCCCTGCTGGTCACTAGAGAGAATGCAATTTTAACACACTTCAGCAATGGCTTCACTTTTTTTAGAACCGGAGGTTGCCGCCTGGTCCAGACTGTAATATCTCAACAAATATTGGATGGATTGCCACAAACCTTTGTAGAGACGTTCATGATCACCAGAGGAAGACTCCTAATGACTTATGTGATCTTCTGACTTTTCCCTCTAGCTCCACAAGACATTTTCCATCTTTCGGTGTAATGTCTTGAAAACTATTACATGAATTGCCATGAAATTACACAGCCATTCCTGCTGTAAATGTCAGTTAAACTTTCAAATAAAACGTGACAGCCCTAGTGTGTGTCAGAGCTTTTGAGCTGTTTTACGCACAGTCCTGCAGCAGCGTCACAATGTTCAGAAATTCAGCATCCTACAACAAGTAGTTGCCTTTATATCCATAATATTTCTAACTTTTTCTAACTGCAGTGGAGATGTTTGTTGAAAACAGTGTAAGTGGAGAGCTGTGGCCAAACAGCAGGCAGGCAGGGAGCTGGCTGCACAACATGAACCTCTGCTTCCACGCTGGATGCCAATAGGCCCTTTTCACAGCAGCCATTTTGACATGGCAGGGTGAACACAGGTGTGATTCCAAAAAAGGAATTATGGCCCTGTTCCATTTAGCTGGGCTCGGGTCCTGGTATTGTGCATGCTGGCTCACTGTAATGGCTTTGACACTAAATAGAATGGGACCTTTATCAGTTTTATCAATTACATCTGTGTTTACCCTGCATGTCAAAATAGCTGGTGTGAAGGGCCTATTCCACTGCAGGTTCCTAGTACCGCTTCTACTGCAGGTTGGTCGTTTTGGTTTACAGTCCGCATCTCTGTCTGTGTTGGTCCAAGTGTGACTGCACTGCACCAATAACTTCATCAGACTTCCGACCTTTTGATTTGGACTCGTTTTTGTTTTGCATTGGACACAACTTTGTTTGGTTTCTGCAGAGGTGTCAGCTTACTTGCTGTGGTCTCCCACCAATGCTAAATGAATGCAGTTGAAACCGACCCGCGCTACATAGTTCAACAGTTAAAAGGTTCGATGACGTAGAACAAAGAGCTGGCAGGGTCTCAGGCCTCGGAAGTTGAAAGTTGGAATCCATTTAGTGTTTGTCTGCCAACCGATTCTCCAGCCAAGATCTGACCTTTGATGCAAATTGTTTGATTGTGTTTGCTTTGTATTGCATTTTTTGCATTTCACTGGATCGCATGCAACAGATACACGGCCTGCGACATTGGAATGGGCAAAGGCCAAAAAACGACTGAGCTAAAACAGCAAACCATTTAATCGTGTTTCAGGAGCAGAATTTTGAAAGGAAACCAAAAACTATTGTTCATCTGACATCAATTTAAACAACACTACAAAATACGGGTTTTACAAATTGTTTCCCAGACTCCCTTATGTGTGTCGGCACCTCCTCTGCTCACAGTTGTTACACCCACTCACGAGGTTATGTTTGGTCCAATTTGTTTGTTTGTTATTTTGCAGGGTATTTGAAAAAAACACAGATTTCAGGTTTCAGGTCAGATTTCAGGTCTGGTGGAAACTTGGGCCGCTTTCCAAAGAATAAATGATTAGTATTTTGTATTGATCCGTGGTTTCTTAACACTGAGAGAGGGAGATTGTTTTGCTATTTTCTTAATGAACATTATGGCGTACCTGTCTGTACTTATGACCGTGTATTAATATCTGTATTTTTATCCAGAGTTAAAAAAACAAAACATCATACCTCGGATGATTTGACTCTAGCGCATACAAATGTATGTGATCATAAATCACAGCACCGAGACAGTCAGGTTTGATGGGAGAGAGTATTATTTTACCATCACACAGAAAATCACAACAGCCTTTATTCATCCTACAATTTGTCCAGGTTTGGGTGTTTCCTCTACTTCTCTGTCAGGCAGCCAGAAAACATATCACATCACATATTCGTCTTCCCTCGGGGGCTCCTTGCATTGATTACAACAAGGCATTAAACACTCGACAATATATCACCGTTTGACTTCACCAACATATATCTGCTCAAGCTTGAACTTGTTGTGGGACTACTTTTCATTCAGCACACGTCAGGAGAAACAGCAGGAGGCAGGGCCGTCTCCTGCAGCACCCCTCTTCCATCCTGAACCAGATTTATGCCGATACCAGAGTCCAGACTGAAGGCCGGTTTGTTCAAGTCAATTTCAAAGTCACTTTCTTTCCCTGCTGTTCCCCAGAAATAGACTTTGATTCACACAACTTGTTTTTTTGTCCCTGAAGAGCACACCGCAGTCTTACCCTGGAAATTCACCCAAACCAAAGAGTTAGTATTCAAATCAAGTGCTTGTCAGATCCCACAACAGCATCGGATTCAGCACCCCCAACATCAAAATGTGGGTGCTGCGTCTGACAACTTCTACAACTTTCCTAAACCTACAATCTGACGTGTACACACTCTCAATGTCACGCAGGTGTGCAGAGGTAAGAAAGAACTTCAAACTCTTTTTCTAAGAGCTCTGTCTTTAAAGTAACTACAAGGAACTTCACTGGTGTTGATTTTGGTCAAAAGCAGTAGTGTTTCCGAGCACCAGCACCTGCGCTCAGTCCTGGTTCTGGTTCTTCCTCCCTTACCTCAGCAAGCCCAGCAATACGGCCTCGGTCTCCAGCATCGTGGTGTCGGGGTTGTCTCGCAGCGGAGCAGCAAGAAAAAGCTTTGCTCCAGACCGGAGGAGAAGCCACTGCTGCTGGGCACTCAGTTCTCCACCTACCGTTGGAGCTCTGACTGCAGGTCCAAGGTGGTCTGGGTCTGTCCAGGCCATGCTGGAGTCTGAGCTGAAGGAGATTATGTTGAACCTGCACGCTATAAATTGTTTCATTGCGTTTTGGAGGGAATTGGATCCGATGACAGGCACGAAGAAGAACTATAGAAATAGACAATATTCTTGCTGATTGTCTTGTTTGCGTTTGTAGGTAAAACAGAGGTGTTACTTTCATAACCAGTCATGTTCCTTGTTCTTTAAGAATATTTCAAAAGAGGTGTTAATTTCCTCATTTAAATTAATTTTACAGTACTTATTTCTACTATCATTTATAAGACACTCTGTGTCAAGATTGTGGCAAAACTCTCCACAAGTCTTGTTGTAATTTTCCCCATGTCATGTAGAGTTGTTCTTGGTTCCTGAACTCGTCGTCTGTCCAAGTGTCCGAGTAACGGTGGGTAATAGTCGGTAAACTAAACTTAAATATTGCTGAAATTCAGTTAAAACTAAAACAAAACAGTCTCAACGCATGGTCCATTCAGTAGCTGTTCTTGAGCTTTTTGATCATAATCTTCCTCAGCAGATCTTTAATCTTAACTTGACGACATTGGCCACACGTTCAATTTAAACCTTTGATTCAGTTCACAACCTCTGCAGTGTTTTTTATTGTGTTGACTGAAAGGTAAAAGGTTTCCAAACCATTTCAGTTTAGCATCAGTAGCTTTAAAACTCGGCAACTAAATGAGAAGCCTAACCTTTTTGGCTCCGACACCCAGAGCAATTTAAGGAAAAAATAGTCCCACTCCAGCCATGTAGGGACCATTTATCGGACCACAGCCCATTTTGTTTACTGACCCATAGTATAAGAACCCTTTTAGCACAGAATAGAAAATCCGCAGGACCTTGGACTGTGGGAGCACAACATTGGCTGCAAACCAGGAGTGAAGGCTTCACTTGATGTCACTTTAATCTACACTTTAAATTCCTTACTCTGCTTTGTTCATCAGAGAAGTCGGCTCTTCAAAGTCTTACAGCTTTTGACCAGGCCTGCACAAACTTTATCCATTTGACTTTTATTTAAGTGCCAACAGATAACATCTGCAAGTATAAATCCACCAGTGAAGAGGGGAACAAAACACAAGTGGCCTTGCAGGGAGGATGCAGACAAAGACAGAACATTGTCTTCAAGCTTTAAGTGCATTAAAGAACCCATAATGATTTCCTCTGAATGCTGACATTTCATTATTCGGAGTAAAGAAAGATGTGTAAAAGTTGGGGACACGCTTTTTGTTTTGTTTTTGTGAATCATTCACAAGGGAGGACTTGTTTGCTTACCTCCTTCACTTTTTCCTTACAGTATTGAATGATAATAGTAACGTTCATCATTCGATCAATATTTCATCTACATTTCAGTGTCTTGCGCAACAATTGTGTTTTGAACTGATGAAGAGTAATGATGACTTAAGCAAAAAACTTCAATCAAGACTGTAAAACAGAAATAAAACAAGAATAATGTTGGTAACACTAACAACATAATCTTATTTCAATTAGATATTTCGGAGCTTTAACCACATGTCACCGTCTTCTTCAGCAAAGTAGACTCACATGATCACAGGTTGTGACCACTGGCTTGGTTACAGGAAGGTCTTTGTTAGATCTAAACAGTTACTTTGATCGATGACTAGTCGATGTGGTGACCCACTTAGGTCACATGTTAAATGCTAAATTCACTTATCATTTTGTTGCAGACTAATTTGTCAGTGACAAAACAAATAATAGCCAACAATATTAATGATCAACTCATCTTTTCAGTTATTCATTCAGTAAAAATGTCAAACATTTCCTGGTTGGATTTTCTGCTTTGCTTTGTTTTTCTTGTTTTTTTAACTAAATATATTACCCTGTAACCGTTGCTTCATTCAGATTGACATGTCTGCATGTTAAAAACTGACTGAGCATCCATAGTGTACAACGTGGTGTCTCCAAACTTTGGCGTTTGTTGTGTGTCACCCCATTCTGCCATACACATGGTTCTATGGGATATATTAATATATGGTATAAGAACATACAAGTGTCCCCTTCAAGTGAGAAAAGGATGCCAACAGTCTAATGTTACCACAAGGAACATTTAATTGGTATGCCTATGACTTACAGAGGTAAACAAAACCATCAGCAAGAAGATTTCTATGTTGTTATTCTTGAGCCCTGCAAAATCAGACTCTGGTGCTCGGAAACACAACCGTGTTTGTCCACAGCGACCGCCAAAATCAAAATGAAAGTTCCTCGTAGTAACTCTGAATAACAGCCTGGTTTATAGATGCTCAACATGGGGTAACCTTGCAGCAGGTTTCATCAGTGAACTCAGAAACAGTGCCACCGCTTGGTTTACTCTGCCCGACAGAGGATCCAGGTGTGCTTGCAGGAAGAGGCTTGGTTTTCAAAAGCCTTTTGTCCGCTGTCACACATCAGTCAGATGTTATCAGGTGAACCAGAGCTCATTGTTCGGCTGCGTGTAAGCCTGCGATTCAGAGAGGTTTACCTTGAAATTCTCTGCACTCACTGCATTCTTTGAGCTAAAACTAGTTTGAGGGATGTGCTACAGGAAAGATGTATGTAACTGAACAGAAAATGTAGAAAAATGATCGAAGTATCAGTTCTTTTTTTTTCCTAGATCAGGCAGACTGTCTTTGTTGCTATTTGAATATTTGTTTGGTAATTATATGCATATCGAGCAGGTGAAGTGGGGGACATGTACGCTTAATTATCTGATATAAAAACCTGCATCACGTTAGCATAAGACAGCACTTGTTCTGATATTTTTGTCATGATATGTGGTGTGTGTGCATTCATTCTCCCTGCTTCTGACAGCTTCCTGTGAACAATAAGGCAAGATCATGAATTTGCAGATTCATTTTTCTTCAGTGGAGAGGAAATGATTAACGCGTCAGTAAACAGCAAATTAAATATAATTAAATAATAAAAATAAAATAAAATAAAAAAAGGAAGCAGCAGGTTGAGCTTCACAACTGTAAACTGAAGTTTATTCCAATTTCTGGTGCCTGTTGCTTTATTTAGGTATACTAACAGATGCATCTTCTGACCTCGCTTGCAGTGTGTGGTTTTGTTCCTCCATCGGTTTAACTTTAGCTTTCTGGTATGTGTAAAAATATTTAAAGCAAAACTCTGAACCTACAGAGGTAAAAACCCTTCATGGCCGTACGGAAGAAGGAACGTAAACACTTTGCTGATCTTCTTAACGCAGAGGCTGCCACTTCTGCAAATTGACTGCTGCATGTCTGTTGAAGCAGCACAAGGTCCAAAACATGACTGACTGTCAGCCGAGAGACACTTTCATATATTCTTACAAACTTTCTATTGTCAACTTTGAAATCAAACATTGCATCTTATAATAAGGCGATCCCATAATCTTCAGATGTGACCTTTATTGTGTTTATTGTGCCACTAACCGGGGCTGTACGGTCTGTGTATGTTTTGATAGTCTGTTTATTGGATTAAAACCAAAGTGAAAGAAAAGTTACAAATATTTTCTTTCGTCCTTGCCGCTGCCATGAGATTACTTCGCCAGGAAGAGTATGGAGCAGCTCTGGGAGACAGACCTCCAGATAGCGGAGCTATAACAATTTAGGAGGTCTGATCTCGGGGGGATCGCCCCGACCTCTCCAGATCAGAAAACTCTGTTGCTGCCCTTACACAGGTTCGATCCAGCACTACCGCTGGCCACAACCCGCTGTCTCTCCCGACGCTGTCGTTAATGTTAACCACATCAACTTTATAGGGCCAAAATATGTCTTTGAGGCTGTTTTTTTGTCAGTTTGTAGTTCCTCTGCTGCTTATAAAGGCCAAAGAAATCAATGAAGAATAAAATGAAAGAGCGTCAGCCAGAAACATTCCAATATTACAATATAATATGAACCAATGTGATTTGCGATATGTGATCAAATGTCTGACAATCTGGAAATATGTCTTCTTGGGTTTTTAACGTGCCAGTGTACCAGAACCATTGATTTCAAGCTTTGCTCCCTTCTCTGGTTGAAGGTGTGCTAATCAGAGAAATGAGCTGCTGCAATTATGCAGTTATTATTATTAATATGACAACAAGTCACATAGAGGACATAACTGCTTTGGAAAGCACATAACAGAAGAAACCTTTCTGTCAAAAACAGGCATGAAGAAACACTGCTCCTCATTTCTGCAGGATTTGGCAAACATCCCGTGATTTTAGTCCCCGGTGGTAATACAATTGAGGACGAAGCCGGGCTTCATCTCCTCCAGGAACCAAACAGAAGAGAGCGTAAGAGAAAGGCGAAAGAAAAACTCTGGGGCTTCCAGGAAAAAAGCCCATCGCCATCCCTGGTAAAAACCACGCCTGGAGCCCGGAAGTGTAGAAGCCTGCGAAGAGCTGCCCAGCAGCGCTGCTCTCCAAATGCCAGCTAGTAATGTGCATACCTGTTTAACGCTGCAAATTCAACATCCGCGACCGGAGCTCTCCGCTTCTACCGCTCCAGCCAAAGCCTTTCTCCACGGGACACCACTAGCTTAGTGGAAAAGACTGAGCGCCAAGGACGAGCTCTCAGGCCTCACTCACTGCAGAAACAGAATACGTTCCTCCTCTCCTTCTTTTGCGTCTCCTCACTGTTGCTGCATTTGTTTTATTTAGATCCAAGCACGGGCTAGTGCACAGCGGGTTGGTTGGGGTTTAAGGAATTACCCACGTCACTTTGCCAGGTGGAGTCCAGCTTGCTGAATGGCAAGCTGTTACATCTTTATCGCCTTCTTTCGTTTTTCTTTCTAAATCTCGCTGTCATTTTAACCTCTGTCTCTAATATCTCAGCTAATAACTCTGTTTTTTTGTGTTTTGCTCCTTCACACACACACACACACACACACACAAAGAGAATATAGCACTCAAACTGTTGGAGTAGGTTCCCCTCCCCTGCTCTCCTCGCCTTCCCCTCTTCCTCTTTCTCTCCCCTCTGCGTCAAATTCAAA